AGATGAGGGAGATTAAGAGGGACAAACTTCCAGTTACTAAATAAATGTCACAGGTATGAAATGTACAGTGTGGGGAATACAGTCAATAATAATGTAATATCTTTATGGTGACAGATGGTAACTAGACATCATGGTGATCATTTTAGAAGGTATAGAAATACTGATCACTATGTTATAGCTAATGATACTGAGTTATATACTTGAAAGTTGCTAAGAGAGGAAATCTTAGATGTTCTCACCAACAAAAAAAGAAATGGTAATTATGTGATGGGATGGAGGTGTTAGCTAATACTATGGTGGTAATAATTTTGCAATATAAGTGTATCAAATCAACATGTTGTACACCTTAAACTTACATGATGTTATATGTCAATTCTATCCCAATAAAGCTGGAGAAAAAAAAAAGAAATACTGAGCACTATGTTGTACGCTAGGAGCTAACAGTGTTGTGGGTCAGTTATACTTGAAAAACAAACAAACAAATAAACACACTTACAGAAAAAGAGATCAGATTTGTGGTTATCAGAGGTGGAGGTTGTGGGGTGGGGGAATTGGATGAAGGTGGTCAAAAGGTACAAACTTCCAGGTATAAGATAAATAAGTGCTGGGATGTAATATACATCATGATTAATATAATAAACTCTCTTGTATGTTATATGAAAATTGTTAAGAGGGTAAATCCTAAGAGTTCTTATTATAAGGAAAAATATTTTTCTATTTCTTTAATTTTATATCTGTATGAGATGATAGATGTTCACTAAATTTATTGTGATAATCATTTCATGATGTATGGAAGTCAAATCATTATGCTGTATACCTTAAACTTATACAATGCTGTATGTTAATCATATCTCAATAAAATTGGGGAAAAATGGCTTTAGTTTGGGAAGCTCTAATTTGAAGTCATTCTTCATGGGTGTACTATTTAGCAAGGCCAGTTGTCTTTTAATGTTATTACTGTTTTCATAACATCTAATCTATGTACAGGAGAAGGCTTTTAGTTTTCTATCATAGAAATTTGGGGAAAGGGGCGTGCATCCAGCTCATCCAATAGAAATTTCAAGTCCTCTGCCTTTAAATTGGTTATGTCTTCCCAAGACTGGGTTTTGTCCCTTGAGCTGATGTAAAGGTCACTTCCTATATTTGTGAGGCTTGTCTATGGAGGCCATAGGGGCTCTGCCATAGCTCAGGGGGCTAATTCTGCATTCCCAGGTCCAGGATCCCTAAATACTTTCCCTTAGAGCCTGCCAAAGAGTATTGGGATCTTATGTTTGTAAGTTAACCTATCCCTCACATGGGAGCTGCAACCCAATAAGCTTCATTCCTACATAGAACCCTCCCAGTTGTGATTGGTCCAAAGTTTCAGGATCAGCCTTTTTCACAGGCAATATAGTACCTTACCTGTTAGGTGAGATCCTGACACATGTAATCAGGGAATTACTTCATTTCATGTATACTAAAAGCATAAGAAGACCTTTGGCATACTAAAATATGTTGATGTTTCAAACAGTTCAGAGAAAGGTCTTTTGATGCTTAGGGAAGGTCAGACAGCTGATCAGATAGATCTTACCAGGGAAGCATTCATCCTTGCTATATAGTGCTCAATAAATATTCGTTGTATGTAGTAAACTGCTGGTACCCCTCCCAAATTTCCTTTACTGGATCCTTCTTACTACTGTGAGTGATGGCTGCTAAATCCTGGCCCTTTTGCCTCAAGGTGGGATCAACTCTATGGTACAATTCATGCTCCACAGCTCTCCATAAGATCAGGCTGAAGCTCCAAATAAGACCACATCTTATCAGCTACCTTCCCTGCCCTATCCTGCTTCCTTTATTGCCTTTCTCCTAAGAGTACTCTCCCAATGAATTATGCACTCAAATCCTGTTTCAGGGTCTGCTCCTAGGGAAACAGACCTAAGACACTGCATGCATAAAAAAATATAAAAATTCATCCATGTCCATGACCTGGAGACAATGTTATAATGCAAGTAAAGATATAGAAAATGATGACATGAAATCAGAGAGAGCAGAAGGGCCACACGGAGAGAATGCTTTTCTTGAGTGAAAAAAACAAAAAACCAAAAAACCGGCAGAGGCAACTTCAAACCATCTTAGTAGCAAATGTCCCTGGCCATGCTGTTAGTAAGAACTATGTTATTTAGAGTCTGGACTTAGAACAGTTCCATATCAAAGGCTAAGAATTCTTTGCTGTTGGCATTAATGTTTCTGGGACCTGGAGGTGGCTGCTTTGATAAGGACTAGTGGAGAAACAGGTGGCATGGGATTTCAGGTAGAACAGCCACAGTACCTTGGTGATAAGGAATAAGGAGTCCAACAGAAGTGCTTCCAGAGCTGCAGTGATCCCTTTCGTAAGGAGTGACTGGATATTATACCAGAACCCACTTAGTATTATATACAGATGACTAGCTATACATGATATTTGTATACATAATTATACAGCCATTCTTGATCAATTCTTAATCAAGTTTACCTCACAAGACTTGTTCTTGGTGGAAGCAAGTTACACAGTATTCTGGTAATCTATTGCTGTGTAACAAATTTAGTGCCTTAAAAAGTACACTTATTTATTTTGCTCATATACCTGTAATTTGGGGTGGGTTCAGCAGAGGTGATACCCCTCTGCTTCATGAATGTCTGGGGCCTCAACTTGGAAGACTTGAATGGCTGTGGGCTGGCTTCCTCACAGCATGGCAGTCTTAGAGTAGCTAGACTTCTTTTAAGGCAGCTGGATTTCCCCAGTGCAAGTGTTCCAAGACACTCAGGAGGAAGCTGCAAAACTTCCTATGACCTAGACTCAAAAGTCTCAACACATCACTTCCATCATAGTCTACTGGTTAAACAAATCATTAAAGCCACCACAGATTCAAGGAGTGGGGGGATTAGTCCCCACCTCCCCACATAAATAGTGTAAAAGAATTTGTAGCCATCTTTAATGCACCATACAGAAACAGAAAGTGTAGTGGACTCTGACAACAACAGTAAAGGAGAAAGAAAATATCAATACTTCCCGTCACAAGAAAAGATTTTGTTTTTTAAGGACAAGATAATTTGAGCATGTTTGAAGGCTAAGGAAAAAGAATCAGAGAAGGGAGTAGGTTAAAGAAGTAAGAAAAAGAATGTTTGCTGCAGCAAGTTTTGAGAGCTTTGGAGAGCAGCCATACTGCTGCTGTGTAGATGCGAGCCATTTCCTGTTAACCTCAGGTGTTAGTAAAGTCACGTGAAACTTCACAGCCTGAGCTCAGTTTTGCTCTGGGGAGTGGTGGAATAGGCTGGTTCCACTTCTGGCCTGGAGGAGCAGTGCCTCCTGAGGCCAGGGCATGGCTCCATGTCAGCCTGTCCCATGGTAGGGCCATGTCTTCCATTTTCCTGTCTCATCCTGCACATCGCCATGTAGGAAACTGTAGCAAAACATAACCTGCAAACCAGAATGCCAGTGCTAGGGCCTAGGCTGAACAACGGGTTTCACGTAGGAATAGGAGGGATGTGTGGGTGGAGAGCTGGCTGTTGTGCAGTTCAGCTTCAGCAGGCTTAAGGGGATGCAGAATGAAGAAGGTCAGGACCTGGGTATGAGGTACATCGTAGAATTTTAGAATTCTATGCTCTGTGAAGAGAAGCTTCACAGGTACATGAGGGCCTTTCTTTGTTTCCCACGGACTGCAAGGTGCCCAAACTATGAGATAGCTGCCATGGGTATATTCATCCCACCACAAGGCTTATGTCAATGTTCTGGTTATCTATTGGTGAGTAACAAACCTCTCTAAAACTTGGAGGCTTAAAACAGCAGCCAGTTTATAATTTCTCAGGATTTTGGATAAGGCATAGTAGGAAAGACTTCTCTCTGTTCTACATAATGTGGAACGGCTGAGATGGCTGGAACAATGGCTTCTTCCCTCAGTGACTTTGTCCCTCAGCTGGGATGGGTCCACCAGGTTCTTGTGTCTGGGATCTCAGTTCTTGGTGATAACTGGGTTCCTACTTTTCCTCCATGTGGTCTCTCTGCAGCAAGGTGGAAGAGCAGCTGCAGCTCAGGACTATCAAGAGCTCAAGATCAAGATTGCTAGGTTGTTCTTAAAGGCTCAGAACTGGAACTGGCACATCATCACTTGCCCCACATTCTTCTTCAGTTAAATCGAGTCACAGGTCTGTCCAGATTCCAGGGTCAGGGACCACACAAGGTTGTACTGCCAGGAGGCATGTTTCACTGGGGGTCACCAAAGTAACAAACTACCTGACAAGAAGGGCTCCAGGAGCAGAACTGTGTATGAGGGGGGGAGAGGGGGGATGCTCCAGTTCCTAATTTTATGCTGCCCTTTCTTCAGAGATGATTGGAGGGCAAATAGCGGGGAGCAAGGTAACCTCAAACTTCCTGTACAGGATTAAAGGTGTGTGGTCTGGTCTGCTACTTAATCAGCCTGTATCAAGGGAGGCGCACTGTGTCTTCAGTTCTAGGCATTTATTGAGCATAGCCAATGCGCTAGGTTCTTAACACAGGTGTTACTTCGTTAACCCTATACTACAGAGGACAAAGCAGAAGCTCAAAGGCAGCACTGCTACAGTACCGCACTTAGCGTCACACCACGACGCTGACTCCTAGGCCCTTTCTGCCCCGCAGCGAGAGTTGGGGTAGAGCGATGACCGGCGCCGGGGTCTTCGGGACCGCAGCGCTCAATTCTGCTGGCTTGGTTAGCAGAGGGACCGGATCCGAGGCAGCGAACGGGAAAAGGGTGCTTCAGGACCGCTACTCAGGGTCTGCCTCGCCGGGCTAAGGGATAAAACTAGAGCACTAGGGCGCTTCGTTAGAGGTCGGAAAGGCCTCGCCTTATCCCAGGATCCGCGTTAGAGGTCTGCCTCCAGGGCCGCGTGCCCCGCCCACGCACGCATGCGCCGACCCCTCGTCCCGCGCAGCTCCCGCCCCGCCCTCAGGATTGACCGCCCGAGCCACCGTCCGCACAGCCCCGCCCCGCACGGCCAGGGGAAGGAGAGCCGGTTGTGCCCTGTGGTGTGCGCGCGCGCGCGCGTGTTTGTGTGTGTGTGAGTGTGTTTGTGTGTGTGTGTGTGTGTGTGTGTGTGTATGTATATGTGTTCGTGGGGCACCGTCTCAGCCCCGGGAAGATGGTGGCGGCGGCGGCGGCGACTGAGGCGAGGCTGAGGAGGAGGACGGTGGCGACGCCAGCGCCCGGGAGCAGGAACAGCAGGCGGTGCCGGGACTGGGACGCGACCAGGGCTGGGAGGCCAGGGCTGGGGACCCGGCTGCGCCTCCCACGGCGGCGGCGGCGGCTGCTGCTGTTGCTGCTGCTCCCGCCGCTGCTGCTGCTTCCCTGGGCGGCTGAGGCCGCGGCGGCAGCGACGGCGGTGTCGGGCTCAGCCTCAGCAGAGGCCAAGGAATGCGACCGGCCCTGTGTCAACGGCGGCCGCTGCAATCCTGGCACTGGCCAGTGCGTCTGCCCCGCCGGCTGGGTGGGCGAGCAATGCCAGCACTGCGGGGGCCGCTTCAGGTGAGTGGTGTGGGGGGGGGTGTCGGAGGGTAGGGCTCAGCCAGAGGCCGAGGCTTAAGGGCCGCTCGAGACGGCCCCAGGCCGGAGGCGGCTGCCCGACAGAAAGTGGGGGGGATAGGGCCGCCCCATGGTGTTTGAGGACCATTTGCTTCCTGGGAGGTCATCGTCTCTGGCCTGGGGTCTTCCTGTAAGAGAAGTTGAAAAGGTTCGAGGCAAGGGTGGGGGCACCCCAAAGGGGTTTGGGCGCGGCGGACTACATGGGACGAAAGCTTAGGATCCCGAAGAGTTTCAAAGCCAGTCTCTGAAACTGGGCCTCTTTTGGAAAAACGAGGTATAAAAGAAAAGGTGAGAGAGCCAGTCTTCCTTAAACATTTCTTTGGAACATCCCTTCGTTCTCTAGAGCCTGATGAGTTCCTGGACTGATTGGAGATGTGGGGTACTCCGAAGAAACAGGGCCCTGGGAGAGCTTCGTTGTCTGGAGATAGAAGGGAAAAGGGTAGGATTGTGAGATATTAGAGATAGAAGAACCATCGGTTATTGGCTAAAGGAAAGTGAAGAAACTAGCCTTTGGAAGCTCACTGGAGGAGGAGGATTGGAACAAGGTCTGTCATGGAGAGGGCATCGAAGGAGGTTCCTGTTTGCCCTGGTTTCTGGAGAATATGGAGTTCTGAGTTGGCCTGGTTCAGGGCAGTACCTCTTGGAGAGATCACTCATTAATTAATTAGTAGTTAACTATTATTTGCTTTAGTTGTGCAAGGATTTCTGGATAATACAAACAAATAGATTAGCCAGACTTTGGCCTAGTCCACAAGGAGTTTGGAATATAGCTAGAGAAAGATTTGTACATAGATAACCATAATCATAAGGGCTACAGAGTCATTCATGCTTTTGGCAGATATTTACTGAATTTTTTTGATGTCAGATAGGGAAGAGTGGGGAAATATGAAGAACAAGACAGGCAGGGTCCCTGCTCTCATAGATCTTACATTCTAGTGGGGAGACAGACAAGAAGTAAATAAATAAGTGAAAGAAAAGAACAAATAATTTTAGGTAATGGTAAGTGCTGTCAAGAAGGTAAGTCAGGATGGCCTGATAGACAATTATAACCAGTTGGTAACTTTAGGAGAAGGCACTCATTTGAAGTGACATTTGATCTGAGACCTGAATGAGGTAAGGGAGAACCTGTGGGAATTCAGGGGCAGAGAGGGTGTGACTAGCTGAGGGGGTACAAGGGATATTTTGAGGAGGAGGTGACGTTGGATTTGAGTACTTGAGGATAGTAGGATTTGGAAGTGTGGCACTGGGAAAAAAATTTCAGATGGAACAAAGGATGCAAACAAAATTGTGGAGACCAGAAAGTAAAGTATTGCTAGTGCCAGGGTATATAGAAGAGAATTGCGAGAGAGAAGTTTGGAACCGTAGAATTATAGACTCACGTAATGTCAGATCTTCAAGGGAACACGGAGGACGTTGAAGAGCTGAGCTCTTTGTCGTTATGGAGAAAGCAAGTGATTTCAAGACTAGTGTACTGTAGGGCCAGCCTTGTACCTTTACTTAGGGTTCTGGGTAATGTGGTTCTGGTTTATGAACTACATTAATCTACACAAACTTGTTGAGGGCTACTCTGGGTTGGGTTATGAGATTACAGTGGTTAACGAGACAGACACAGTCCTGCTCTTACGGAGCTTACATTCTAGCTTGGGAACAGTAATCAGTTTCTTATGATTTTTCTTAAAGCTATGGAAGTGAATAGGAGGGGGCAAACGGAGGACTTGATTTAGTTTGGAAAGGTAAGGTTAGTGTCTGAATAAGTGGCTTTTGAGTTGAGATCTGAAGGGTGAAATGCCACCACCTACATGGGAGGTGGGGTGCTGAGGGTCCAGTACGTACAGAGGCTTGGAGATGAGAGGGATCATGGCAGGATGGATAGAAAGCCAGGTGGCTGGAGCAGAGAGAGCAAAGGGGAGCAAGACTGGTGAGATAGGAGCCAGGCCTTGTGGAGCCCTGTTGGTTGGGTTGAGAATTTTGACCTTTAGCCTGTGAGCAGTAGAATAGCATAGTTCATCTTGTTTTCATGACATTACAGGCTTTTAGATTGGCGCCAGAGCAGGAATGGCCTTTGAAGATGGGGCCAGACCATTTTGAATTTGAGGAACTTCCACGATCAAGTGAATGGATGGTTGGGTCAGAGGAGAGTTCTTCAAGTTCTGAAAATCTGGGATGCCTTAGTAGACCGTGGGGGCCCACAGGGTGGGGAGGGATATATATAGCTAGATCAGTCTGTCTAATGTTCAGAGAAGGTGGACTCACTTTAAGCATGAGAGATGGTGGGCAACTAGATTGGAACTGTTGACATGGGTCAGGACAGCAGTAACGAGAACTTGAGATAAGCTGTGGGAATGGAGGCAGGGTTAGGTGCTCGGTGGTATTGTAGAGGTGAATGACAGATCTTTCTTTGAAACTGGCTTGCTCTTGGGAAGAGAGAGGGGGATGGTGAAGGAAAGAAAACTAGATCCTATCTTAGTTGATTGAGAGGACGGTGTTACCATTAACAGACACAGGGACACAGGAGGAGCAGATTTGAGATGTTTAATTTTGCACATACTGAGATTGGAGTGTTTACAGGGTTTCTACCTTGTGGGACAGGTGTAAGTATTGGAGTCATCTACATATAGAGAAAGCAGGTCCAAGTGTTCACGTGGACAGTCCAGAGGATTGGAGAAAAGCTACTTGTTAGGGGGAACATCCAGTCCTGACACTGGTTGTCTCAAATGGCGTCATCCGTGAGTGAAGGGGCACCCCTGGTTGTTGTGGACACTCCACTTGAGCCAGTTCCAGCTGGTGTCAGTGCTCTTTCCTGGGCAAAGAGTTATGACCTTTATTCTGATAATTTCATTACATTTTGTGGGATTCTGGAATTTGCATTTTAAAAAAAGGAAAGTAAGGGACTTCCCTGGTGGTGCAGTGGTAAAGAATCCACCTTCCAATGCAGGGGACGCAGGTTCGATCCCTGGTCAGGGAACTAAGATTCCCCCATGCCACGGGCAACTAAGCCCACACCACAACTACTGAGCTCGCAAACCTCAACTAGAGAGCCTGCATGCCGCAAACTACAGAGCCCACGCGCTCTGGAACCTGCACACCACAACTAGAGATAGAAAACCCACACACCACAACTAGAGTGAAGCCCGTGTGCCCAACAAAAGATCCCACATGCCTCAGCCAAGATCCTGCATGCTGCAACTAAGACCCGATGCAGCCAAAGATAAATAAATAATAAATCTTAAAAAAAAAGAAGCAATATTTTAAAAAAGTGAAAGTAAGAGGAACTTACATTTCTAGGCTTTAAAAAAAACCTTTCATTAAATTTTTAGTTGTAGGATTTTTTAGGGGAAGAGTGAAATGTTGGTTTTTATTATGTGTTGGTATGGGTCTTGATTTAACTTACAAACCTCTTTGTTATTAAACTTCGAGACATTAGAATGAATACCTTTCTGGTTTGGGTCAGCATTAGGTTGGTGTGATTTTTAAGCCTTTTAGTTCCATAAATCCTGTGTTACAATTGCTGTTATAAGGTCCTTTTTATTAATTGAAAGGAATGTAGGATAATAAGAGGGTTAGATTTCACTAAAGTTATCATACTGAGTCCATACTACATGCCACGGACTGGATCAGGCATTTTCATGTATATTGTGCCATTTAATCTTCAGGACAACTCTGAGGGTGTTGTTTACAATTTGGATTATTGTGTGGTTATAGTTAGAAAATCACTTAATTTTTTTTCCAAATATAAGATACTATAGAAATGATTAATTACAGAGGATAAAGTTAATGGTGTCAGTTTAATAAAAATAACTGTGAAATCTTTGGTGGATGATTTCTAAAGCAATGCCACTTCCATTCATTTTTATGTGATTCAGTAATCATGTTTTTCTACTTGTGATATCACCATCGAAACTTTTGTTTGGAGGATAAATATATCACATTAAGTTAGAAAATAAAGATGTTAAGCTCATTTATGAAATTAATACGCATTTAATTCTTTTAAGTTCCTGTATACAACTTCTGGGAGGTTAGAATACAATAACCTGCTGAATTAGAGCCTTATAGTTGCCCATGATATTAATACTGTCTATAGAAGAAAAAGAAAGGCATTTATTCAGCATCTGTTTTGTGCACAGCACATTGCAGTAATAGTAGTAGTAATAGTTGCAGCAGTAGCTGCTTCCATTTTTCTAGCATTTCTCCATTTTTTCCAGGTGTTGTGTCAAGGGCCTTTTAGAAATTATTCTTTTTAATCCTTAGAGTGAAGTTATTCCCATTTCACAGTTGGGTAAACCGAAGCTTGGAGATACAGAGTAACTTGCCCAAGGTTACACAACTTGTGAAAAATTGAGATCTGAACTCAGGCCTTGTCTAATTCCCAAACATATGCTTTCCTTTATACCATTTGGCCTCTCATTTTTTCTGAGTCGAGTCATCCTTTATGGACATTATTTGGAAGGGCTGACATAATCCCAACACTCTGAGAAACAAAGGAGGGAAAATAGGTTTGTTACAATAGGAAAGCTAGCATAAAAAAAAAAATCTTAATTTACTTGAATCTGTCTGGCTACTGGCCTGAGGACATAAATATGTTTTTCTAACTAGTGAAGTGAAAATTCTGGAAAATAAAATTTGATATAAGAAGGTAAAATAAATACTTATTTTGCTTACAGTAATTACTAAGAAGTATTAACCTGAAGCCCTAAATTTATGTTCATGAATCAAATTTAGACTTGTCTGTTTTTCCCAGTAGAATATAAGCTCCATGAGGCAGGAATTTTTATCTGTTTTGCTCACTGTTATATTCCCAAAGCCTAGAGCAGTGGCTGAGACATAGTGCTCAATAACTATCATTGAATGAAGGAATGAAGTTCTGCTATATATTCTTTATGACTTAAAAAAAAGTCATCTGTACCTATATGACTGCCATGTTTGTCTTTTGTCCTTTTATTTCT